TTAGCATTTTTCCCATTGAAATGAATGAGCGGTCCCCATAATGATATGTTTACCCTACATGTGCGTGTGTGTGGATTATGTTTATATTACATTGTGGGGACCAAATGCCCTGTTATTTTGACGTTATGGGGACCATTCTTTAGTTCCCCACAAAGATCTGTGACTGCAACCAAAAACTAAAAATGTCTCATATTTTGTTTGGTTACTTATGGCTAAGATTAGGGCTGGGTAGAGGTTAAGGTCATGTTGGGATTGGAGTTTTCCCCACAGAAATGGATGGAGAGTCCCCACAAAGATATAATTAAAAAACTTGCTATACTAGCTTGATACAATAGCTTTGACACATACTAGCGAAAAATGTTAGAAGCTAAATAATACAGTATGACTTTACAATACTTCATGCAATTTAAACAGCAAAAACTTTGATCATAAAAAATACTTTTTACCATGAAAAGTATTTTTGCAGAAGGAATGGTCATATGTGGCTGCCTTCTTCCAGGGAGGAGGAGGGGCTAACTGAGCGTGTGCGGTATGAACATCATCACTGCAGCTCATTCCCGATTTTAAGAATAAGCCATCATGCAACCATCCCCACTCTACCCCAATTACCATGTAATGGACATTTGTATATTTATCTGCCCGAGACACAAAGAAAAAGGGAAAAAAAATAGTGATCATCCGTTTATAGTGATCAATTTCACCCAGACAGATGTGATCACTGTAAACGGTTTCCACTGTATTATACTCATAATAAGGAATAAATACGTACACTGCACCAAAATCATGACTCAGTTGAGTAATGCTGCTTCTTTTTATTTAAACTTTATCACTTGCAGCAGCATTGTTTAATCAGGTTTGTGGTGTTAAAGTTTCCAACGCTGCTACCACCCCGTGAAACACTTGTATTGCACAAGTCACGTTCTCACACGCAACAGAAGCTCTTCTCAAGTGACGCACGCTGCTCCTGTGTGAGAACGTAGGATACATACGGTACGTCGCATGTTCTGTCAAGTATTTTCATGATTTTAAATGGATCGGATTACATTTTTTATTCCTCTCCGATATCGGGTCCAGTAATTTAGGCTGGGATCGGAACGATACCGAAACTGAATATCAGATCGGCGCATCCCTACTTTTAAGTAGTGCCAGTCATTAAAAAAAATGTGTGTATCACTGGCACGGGGCTCTGTTCTACTCCGTGTCCCAGCTGTCAGAGGTTGCTGTTGCACTGAGAAGGCGGAGAGAGTAAAGTGGGGGCGGGAGGCAGTGATAAGGGATGGCTTATTATAAATCGTGAAGGACTGAAAGGTCAGGCAGAGTCTCTAGTCTAAGCAGTCAATCACGCATAACTGCCAGCATCTGAACAACCATGAAGTCGACAGTCCTGCTCTGTTCTTCCGTGCTACTTGTCTTGTTTGGTGAGTGGCATTGTACCATTTCTTCTGACTTGGCGGTGGGGATAATTAAAGGCTCATATCTTAGGTGAATTTCCTAATGCTTCTACAGGAAGAACTTGCACAAAGATCATGAAAGCAGCTTCTGCTTTCCTGTGCTTGGTTGTCACTCTTCATAACTTTGGTTAATTTACTTGTTTATTTCATGTGGATATGTTACTAAATGCTCATAGTCAGGGGCGGATTAACGCACAGGCTAGATATGGCTTAAGCCTAGGGGCCCCACGTGCGCCAGCCTGCAAGGGGGCCCCCATTGGCGCGGAGGGGGGCGGGGTTGGGGGGCCCACAGACTACTGTAGCCTAGGGGCCTCTGTGCACCTTAATCCGCCCCTGCTCATAGTGAATTAGAGGATCCTTAAAATCATTTTATTTTAATGTGTTGTCACGCATTCATTTTATGTCGTGGGTAACAGGTTTGGGAATGTACTCATTTACACATTTTGCAACAGTTTCTCTTTTCAAACATTTTTTTTTAAAGCAGAAGGAACAACGATACACAACAGCTTTTCAGGAAACACAATGCCAACAAAAGCTTGCAAATCTCTTTCCTGGGTTTGAGTACCTCTGTCTAGAGCAGGGGCAGCCAATCTTACCCAGAAAGGACCACTGTGTATGCGGGTTTTTGCTGCAACTCCCTAATTAGATTACTAATTAGAGGACTGATTGGCTGAAGAGTCCTCACTCCTGGGTTTGGACAGACAGCTGACCTAAAGCTTATCTCAAAATCCTGCATACACACTGGCCCTTTGTGGATAAGATCGGCCACCTCTGGTCTACATGGGTCTCAAGACCACTGCAGGCTCGCTTTGTGACTCCACTGGAAGCGTGAATTTGTTCTGGGGTAACCATGGTTTCCACTGTCACTGGCCACTGGTGGCAATGGGGACAGAGTAGCCATAGCTTTGCAGACCAGAGGGCAGAGCAGAAGGAGGGCTTAAGTCAGGGGCTTTATCTCCATAAAGGTCACTTCTGTGCCTCAAATAATAAGCTGCAAATATGGAAGAATGCAAACCGCACCAATGAAAATGCGTCACTTAGGCTTCAAGGAAAGCTTCTGGCAACGTTTTGTGCCAAAGAAAGTCTTTGTCAGACCTGCTGAAAACAGTGCAACAGGCACAGCGTATCCACCTTGTGGGGGCGTGGTCCTGACCACAAAAGGTGCATAACCTGTCTGTTCAATACTGCATTCAAAAACAAAAACAAAGACAGCGCTCTCGCTGGAGACACCCACAAGCTCTCTTTTTTTCCCCCCTTTTCAGTTTTCACGTCTGTTGAAGGCAGCCAGGATGAGAATGGGCCCTACCCCAGAGCAGTAAGTCACTGAAGCCAGCCCCCCTCCCCCAATCAGAGGCTATGTTTCTGCCATAAAAACTGCAGGATTTTTTGCTAAGGAGTTTTTGCTTTTTAGTGTTTGTCCAGAAGGTTTTCCCTGTGGGAAAACCCCTTTTTTGGGCAGTGGTGGCTTAATGGTTAGGGATGTGCACTTGTAATTGAAAGATTGCAGGTTCAAATCCCCGACCAGCAAGGTACCACTGAGGTACCCTGAGCAAGGTACCACCCCCAAGCACTGCTCCCCGGGTGCTGAATTAGCTGCCCCCTGCTATGTCACATTGTCACATGTGTTAAATGCAGAGAACACATTTTGTTGTTGTGCACTGTGTGCTGTGGTGTGTCAACAACAATTAACCACTAAATTCTAAAGGATGCTGTCATACAGTTAAGTTAATGGTCGTCTGAATGGTAGGGTAAGTTTAATAATAGTATGTCAGTTATTAATTAGTTTGACAATTGAAAGACTGTTAATTGTCTTGTAATATGTATCATACTGATGTCAACATCATCGAGGTCTGGGACCTACACAGGCAGGACAGGGCAGTGGCAGTCAGATCTTTGTTAGACTTAATAACTAAATCTTCTCCATACGCATGTTAGCATTGTACCATTAGCCACAGATTCTGTGTTGTGTGACACTGCACACGGGACGTTGGCGGTGCACACCTAGTATAATACGTAATTCTGTCTTCATTACAGCCTCGCTGTGGAAACATCCAAAATGGGATTTGTACCCGCGAGCACAATCCAGTCTGTGGGAATAATGGCTTGACATACTCCAACGAGTGTATGCTCTGTATGGAGAACAGGTAAGTAACATGCACAAATCAAGCAAAGTCTCTGTGGAAAAAACAAGAGGATTCTCTGGTCAATGGAACATTTTATGTCGATGGTCACCATATTAAACACATGGGTGGATTCATCATTATTGTCCCAAACTACAACACAGACCTGAGAGCAAGGTGGGGTTTAGGAGCTCACACTGAGTAAATGTTTACCCAGCAGTGTGAGAATTTGTGAAGGGGGAAGGTGGTCCCCTTGAACTGGTGATAGAGTGCCTGATTATGGAGGAAAGTGTACTGAACATCACACGCAATTCTGAGGCAATCTTTGGGAACCTGTTGTTATAGCTTACAAATGACCTTTTACGCTAGAAGCTAAACTTAATTTTGATGGCTAAATAGAGCAAAAAGGAGTAGTGGTTTTCCTAAAGGTGGAGATTTTCTCTCAAGCCCACAAAACAGGTTGGATTTTCGTGTCGAACATCTGGTAGTACTTCCTGTCTTCACCTGTGTGATTGATCTGATGATGGTGTGTTTTGTCTTACAGCCAATCCGGCAAAGATGTGCGTATCGCTCGTGAAGGCAGCTGTGCACCCTCCAAAGCATAAGAGGAGCCTTGGAGAGGAAGAAGGGTAGCCGGGTAGTGGGCTAGCTACTTCTTGATAATGATGATGAATGATTAATGATGCAATAATAATAAAAAAAAAAAAAATCCATTCTGCATGACATGTGCGTGTACTCCTTTACTTAAGCCTGGACCATGTTTCCTAATGTTTCCTTAACTGCTATACCACCTGCTGGCAAACTGATTACGAAGCAGTCAGCAGCGCTGTAACACCAGTGCCAGTAGGGTGTGTGCATATGCATGAATGTAGAACAACTCAGCTTACATGTGCAGCCAGCTATTACCATGCCAATGATATTGGAGTAATCCTCGCTTCCTTTGAGCTACAATGGCTAGCCCAACCGATTTAAGCCGTCGCTCTCAGTGCAATACCCAGCGGCAGCACGAGCCAGGAGCTTGGATTAGCTAACAACCCTACGATTCAGCCTAACATCAGAAAAGCAACCCTAGTATTTTGTTATGAAAATGTAAAAATAAATATCGTTCTGATAATCATTTCAATGATATATTTTGTTGTACTTACTAAAAAATTAATAAAAAAAAAATTTTTCCCCAAAACTATTTGGTAAGTTTTGCAAGAATGAATCCTGTGTCTTGAACTTGGCTAATTAAGTAGCTACTGTACTGTGCAGGACATAACTCAAAAATGGTGAAGTTCCTTGTTTGGCAACGTAAATGACCGCAAACTCCAGAGAGACAATGCTGATATCCTCAATGATGCAGTGGATGGCATAGCGGGGCAGAGAAACAGCAAGGAGGTTCTTGTCTTGGGGGCAGCATGTGGCTCAGTGAGCTAAACCTCTGGGTCTGCAATCGGAAGGTCACCAGTTTGAGCCCGGCCTTGGCACGTCTGTGGGTCCTTGAGCGAGGCCATTAACCCCCAGCTCTCTGGGTGGCTGACATTCATGGCCAGCTTGCTCTCACCTACAGAGAGCAAGTTGGGGGGAGACATAAAGAGAATTTTCCCATGGGGATCAATGAAGTATCTATTGTTATTAATGGTGGTCGATTTGATGATATTTTATTGTATCCAGTTATAATTGTATCCACAATACATATTTCAGAGGCATTGCAAGAATCTCAATAAAGCACTACATGTACAGTTACTTAGCAGGCAGTTTTGCCCAAAGTGATATACAAGTAAAAGTCTTTCACATGTTCCGCAAAAACACTACTTACTGATGCAAAAAAAAATCTATATCATACGTGTATTAAGTTAATTATCCATTGTACACCTGTATTTGCTGTCAACTGAGTTAAGATGTGCGTAGTTATTGACCAAAGTGATAAATATTCTTTTGTACACAAGACTTTAATATGAGGGTGGGAATTAAAAAAGCTATTTTGCTTTAATGGGTCAGTTTTTTTAATATGTACAGTATTTTATATACCTTAATAATTAAGTTTGCTATTATAATGCTTCAAGCAATATTTTTTGTAAGGGTAGACTTATTGGTTTAAATGGTTAATCAACAAAAAACTGATCTGTATTGTTTGGGCGACTTGTACCCATGGATTATATTTTGTTTGTGTATTTTGAAAACTAGCATCTCCACCCAAACGCATAGTAACTGCTAAGCAACTGTGGTTAAAAAAAAAAACAAAAAACGATGCCAGCGTCATGGACTTTTTCCAACAATAAAACTAGTAACCTCAGATTTTAGATGCTGTTGATGAATCCATGAAGCAGTATGAATCTTGGCATACTGTGTGTACTCAGCAACTACCAGCTAGTCAATAAATTAGAATTTGAAAATATACTCCAAAACCTGAGCACTACATATACACCAGATCAGGGGTCACCAGCCTTTTTGAAACTGAGAGCTACCTCGTACTTCACAGATACTGAGCCATACAAAGGGCTACCAGTTTGAAACACTCTCCTAAATTCTAATATTCATGTATAATAAATATGTTTTAAATGCTTTTTTTAGATGTTGTCATTTTCAAATCTATATAAATGCAAATGTGATTAAAGAAGAATAGCAACAGGATAAAATTAAATTTTAGATGCTGCTCACTGGTGAGTAGTGGTATATTTAGAACAGGTCCATGCACCATGTTGGTGACCCCTGCACTAGATGCTATCCCTGTCAAATTACTTTACACTGGAAGCACTGATGTGGCCGATACTTCAAATAATTAACACCTCCTTAGTTTCTGGTATTGTCCCAGATAAAATTTAAATGGCTGTAAACAGACCACACCTTAAGAAGCCAAACATAGACCTTTATGTTCTTAACAATTCCAAACCTGTCCCCAATGAGGACTTCCTCTCAAAAATCCTTGAGAAAATAGTAGCCACCCAAATGCAAGCACACATGAACAATAATACACAAAATTCCAGTAAAAGCCACAGCAGCTGTACCCAGAGTCATAAATGATGTGCTGCTCTCTTTCGATGCAGGGAGAGTCATAAAAGAGTCCTATCAGGGCCGGGCACAGGCTTTCCTGGTGTGGGTGCTTGAACAAGGGTGGCATGGCTCAGGGTAAATTGATGGGAGGGAACATTTTGCGTTAGGAGTACCACAGTTCGGGCGGAAAGGAACAGGTGCAATCGCCTAACGACGCGTTTCTCAGAACATCCCTGTCATTAAGTGACGTAAGACTGCATCGATGCTGATGAACCTACATTGTAAACACGTTACTTCTACTTTATAAAGGGAGCGCATTTAACATATCATGGCTACTTTTACTTTAGTGCTAGGTTTCATATGTTATTTGGTATGATTTGGTAGGTAATTTTTTTCGGTCTCACAAGGCTCAAAATTTTTTTCCCATGTAAATTAATGGCAATTGGTTCTTCACTTTACATTGTTTCATCTAATGAAAGGTTTCACAGGAACGTTCTACTTTCGGGGTAACGGGGGAAACCTGTCAACTGCTTTAATGATAAAAGAGACTGCCTAATGGTGATAATGACATCACTCATAATGCCTTTTCATCAGCACTTAATGTTGAGGGCTTGCATTACAGATGCTAAAGTGAGGTGTTGTCTAGCCTTTGACGATACAGAAAGATGAATACATGCATTTATATAACAAATCAGACACTTTCTCCCCTACAGCAGTTTGAAAATCTAGCGTGAAAACTTTAATTACAAGAAGTAAATATGACAGTATTACTGATATCCTGATGTCTCTCCACTGGTGTCCTGTTCAGTACAGGACGGCAAAATTCCTACGGGGGTGCGACTCCTGCTTATCTAACCCATCTGACAAAAGCGTGTGATCACGAAAGTTCACTAAGATCATAGAATACAAGCCTTCTTGTAGTTTCTCACATAAATAAAAAGACTGTTGGAGACAGCTTTAAGTCACAGGGCCCCTGGCTTAGTGAACAGTCTGCTAGCATATGTGAGGGAGGCCCCATCGGTCTCATTATTCAGACTCAAACCACATTACTGTAGCCTAGCCTGCCACGCATAAGGCTGCTGGTGTTATTGTACACGCTGTAGTTCCTCTTTGCTTTTGTGGGTAACGTATCAGAATCAGTCCTGACTCATTGTGTCACACAGCATAGCACGGGCAGAGCTGCTAGTCAGTAGAGGACGGAAGACTGCTCTGCAGGATGCACAACCACAGACAACAAGATGGAAGACAGCGCTACACAAAAACATATGCTACTTCCGGGCCGGATCAGTGTCAGCTTGCCCATATGGCCAGAGAGCTCATCGTGGGCCCTAAAGCTTTTTTTCCAACTCTCAAACTTTGAAGTATGAGTTTTGTTTCTTCTCTTTTGTCATCCTCCAAATTTTCTCCACTGCTCACACCGTTGTTATCCTTAACTGTGACATATCAGCAAATGCCAACTTGTCAGATTCTTTAAGACCACTGCTTTGGGAAAGGCACTACAAGAATAAACCAAATTGACTAAAAGATGTGAAAGACACAGATGTAGATGACGTTCTGAGATTTTAGATCACAGAATTCCTCAACGCAGGGCTGAGCTGAACTGGCCTTCATACTCCCTCATCATAAATAATGTTTAAATTATTTCAGAAATAACAGTGATGAATGGGGCAGGAACAAGGAACTTCACTGTTCAACATTTACTGATGTGTCATACAGCAAGATGTAAGCCATAGGCCAACATTTGATCATCATCCTGTAAACACAAGGATGGTGAATATGCCACTTGGTATGGAAAACCTTGCCAGAAGCTTGTTTGGGAAGCAATGGCCATGGCAACAGAACAAGAGCCAAATGACAGGTGTCCTGGACCAGCCTACTTCCCAGGTTCTGAAAGGTGCGGGAGAGAATGTACAGAACTAACCCAGGATCAGATCCATCCAGCAAACACAGTCTTTATTATCCTCCCCTGGCTTCAGTGTATTTTGAGAAGTGCGGAGTCCAGCAGCTCCAGGATCTCCCTGAAGTACCAATCCTCCTCAGCCAGTCCCTCCTCGCTGAGTGCCAGCTCCTGGTACTGCTGCCGGAGGGCGCTGAGGGCGTGACCCAGCCCGGGGTCCTGGCGGTACGCAAGCCCGCAGTGGGACGACATGGCCAGCAGAGTGCGCAGTGCCTTCTCTCTCCAATCATGCTCTGGGGTCAGCAGCAGCTGGGGCACCAGGCCGCACCAGCCCTGCTCGGCCAACAGGGGCAGCAAGGACACCTGATTATACTGACGGAGTCGCTCCTGGTGGGTGGAGTCAGGGATGGTGTCCAGGCCAGCCTGAGAGACCAACTCCTGCAAGAGGAAACAGATTTTCCATCACATCTGGAGTTTCAACTCAGTTACGTCACTCAGCTCTATTTCCAAACAGCTGCCTTTGGTAGAAAACACCACTCTGTCCCTCCATGTTCTCCATGATGTGTTCTCCATGCTCTCAAATGAGCGGCATTCTGGCCCATGCCAGGCCTTAGCGACACCTTCAGAGAAGTTCAAAGGGAGTTCAGAATGGTTCACTCACTCTCCATTCCCTATATGAGGAGGTCTATGAAGTTCACTACAAAGGGAATTACTCAGTGGAGCTAGACAGTTTCGGACACAACACTCCAAGGCACTTTGTATCCTAGCAACCTTTGACAGCTGATGTGTGTGAGTAGCAATACAGTGAAAAACAAAGGGAATAAGGGAGAAGTGTAAGCCTATCAAAGGTTTCAATAGGATGAATAACTTGGACTGTCTTAAGCTCACGCCCGTGGACCCACTTCGGGAGCAGCGAACGGTCCGTACCTTCTCTACGATCATGTCGTAAAGCAGTGTGACCATGCGCACGCGCAGGCCCTCGCTCCCTGGGGCTCGGAACAGGTCCCCCAGGGCTTGCACACCACCCAGCTTCAGGAAATGGCTCTGAGCGAAGGGGAAGTTCCTCAGCAATGAGCTGATAGCAAACAGCACCTGGAGGGGTTCAGGAACATAGATATGCAGCAGTGAAAAGACCAGAGGCGCTCCGTCCTCACAAGCTGGGTCAGAAGAATGCATAGGTCCTGAAACACTGAAACTCAACACGACCTACAGCAAGACCTCTACTCCCACCTTAAATGTTAATAAGGAACCTCGACTTGGACTAGCATGGGGAAAAGTAATACCTTAATAACCTGTTAACCATTTTTAGACCTTGTTTTAACGTCACCTTTGCACCATTTCTAACATTTTTAGTATAACATTTTCAGTAACATTTATAAATGTTTACAGGTAGCAGGTAATCGTTTTTATTTTCACCAATATCTTGTACTATGGGGTGCACAATAAAGTACAAGTTTATAGACGAAATATGTAGTCTTGGGGATTGCAAAGGCTAATGCAGTGAAAACTGAGCAACTGCGGAAACGAGACTGAGACTGGGAAAGGGTGATGCGAAATGTGATGCTCGACACTGAGACGCCGGGCAGCTGTTTCCATGACCAAAGTTCTCGTGCAGCGTACAATACCGGCTGGTCGGACAGCCAGTCTTAAGTCCGGTCGTTAAACAGGTAGGTCATTAAGTGAGGAGTGTCTGTATATCAATTCAAGCATACCAAATAATACTGTTAAACTAAGCATATGAACATGTTTTATTAAGAGTATAATTGGTTCATGATGCCAGACAGCTAAGACATAAAGGGAGGCCCTGGCTGCCCAGCCCATAATACTCCTTCAAAGTGCAATGCGGTTCTGATTCCCTTTCATAGTTTCTCAGTCTGTGATAGTCTGGAGCCCAGCTGGGGTGTCTGGGGATGGCTAAAGAAGCAGAGAGAGCACTGTACTCCCGAAAGGCCAGGGACCACCCACCCCAGAAAGAGAGGGAGTTTGCCATCTGTAAGGGGGCGGGGCGGGCAGGCGGCTACAAACCTTCTTCTTGACGCTGATTGGCCGGTCTGTGGCCAGAAGGGTCACCAGCATTTGTAAAGCCCCAGCTTCCACTGCACTCACCTGGACCTGTGGATTACTGTGGGGGAGGGGGGGTTACGGTTAAGGCTGGGGGACAGCAAGAGAACCACATATTACACCCCTCTAGAACCTGAAAATGCTGCACCAATGACAAGCCACTGGATTACAAGGCAGGTACAGTCAATCACTGGGTTCAACCAATGACATCCAACATACACCCTTATATACACATTAGTTTCACTAATTAACCGACATGGAACAATGATCTATACAGGGGAACCAGTTTTCCTCACTCTGGAAAACACACAATGTGGAAATCACATTCTCTCCTCCCATGAGTCTCATCTTTGACGTAACGTGGTTTCTAAAATTAGTATTTCGTTCATGATGTTACGTTTCATGCAGATGCCACAGGGAAATAGAAGTGGCAGACTGAAGACAACAGAAGATGGATATAGCAGCGGTGCCCATGTGCTGAGCGCGGCCGGAGAATCACCTGGACACGGCGGAGCCCAAGACAAATGCCGCGCTCTCCTGCAGCTGAAGATGCGTGCCATTCAGGGTGTCTATCACCAGCTTCATACCTCCCATGGACACCAAGTCACGGGCATTGTCCACCTGAACACGCGAGGCCAGAAGGTAAACAGGAAGTGCAAAACAAAAACAAAACATACCAACGGTACATGTCTAAAGCTCCGCTTGTCTCTATTCTAGATCTCTCTCTCAGCTTGCCAAATCATTTTTGTAGTCGACACCAAAAGCCTACCTGCTCGTCTGCATTTTTTAAATTTTAAACAATGTGTCACAGTGTGTTACCGATCGTAAAACACAAAACAGAGGAAGTACACAGGAAAAGTCAATAAAAGAAAACAACCAGACTGACCAGTATCCCAGAAAGCCTGAGAATAACACAGAAGTCCCTAATCTCCTCACCTGATGCACCAAATACTCAAGGTCCAGCAGCGCCGCAACCCGCTCCTCCACAGTGGCAACAGAGCGGTTCAATTGTGCCACAAGCCGGCTCATCACCTGGAAGTCTGTCTCGACCATTAGGTCCAGCTGAGCCATATCCTTCTTCAGCTCTTCTAGTGGACGAAACTGGGACTTGAGCTCAGCCTCCTGCAGAATGGCGTGAGAAGCCAAGGGCAGTTACACACATGCTCTGTCTCACTTACATACAGCGACTTTTATTCTGTACCAGGACATGCAATCAAAAGTGTTATTTGTGACATACGCAGTTATACTCAGTACAATGTGTAGTGAAATGCTTGGCTGGCTAGTTCCAAAAGAAAACATGTACTATAAGGAATACTATATAAGGAATGTACTATATAAGGAATATATATATTCCTTTTTTATATTTCCCTGCCTTGCCTGGGAATATGGCTGCCTGGGACCTGAGTACTCATTATGACATTTATTCTTAATTTGTCAAACAACATGGGCTTTGCTTAATTATATGTTACTTATAAACTTTGATTTTATACAGCTGAATGATCACAGTCCCCAGATATGCATATTTGTACTAATTGCCGTTCTTTAGACTTGGTGTTAGCAGTGTATATAAGAGGGTCATGGCCTGGAACATTACTGTGGCACCTTGGAATGTGTATCTAGTAGCTGTGATCATATTAGGGCTTCTGCTACTGTACAATGCTGGGTATATGGACCAAAGGAAGCATTAATCATAAAGGGGTCTAGGAACCGTGTAGAACAGGTAAAAGCCAAATGACTCCAAAGATTCACATTCTCTTCAGAGAGTCACAGGAGCATCCATCCCATGTTGTTCACCTGAAAACTGTCCGGCTGGAATGCCCAAATCTGACAATATTGCTGGCGGGCTGCCACCAAAATGAGAACCTTCACCTTACAACGCAGGTGGTGAGAACCAAAAAGACCTTCCCAAAATAAGCAGCAGGACCTTCAGCTGAATTCTACCTTCTGGGAGTCCTGGTGGAGCGACTCCACACCTTCTTCCTTAAACTTCTTCAAGGCCTTCTTCAGCTCCTCAGTTGTGAAGCTTGATGCCTTGGTGTTGACAATGCCCTGCCTGATTCCCAGGGTAGAAAGCACAATCAGCAACATGTGTCAAAAGTCCCATTACACACATCCACCCATGACTGAGCTCAAACTATGCTGTGTACTTCATCATATCATATTATACTGAAATTTAAAATCATAGTTCATACATTTCTGACTAAAATGCGCAAGCTGATGGTCCCCAATGATATCCTGGGACAATCTAAGTGCCCTGAAGATGTATCAGGTCACCTTTTTCCATCACTCCAGTACTTCAAGACCTCTTCATCCAGTTTGGCCTCTCTGTGTCCTGTCTGCAAGTTCAACCTAACATGAGATCCAGCAGGAACTGCTTGACCTGTTAGGAGGAAATCAGGTAAATTCCCAATAAACAAGGGGTAGTAAAAATAAATTCATGCAGGCCAAGCTGGCTTCCTGCACTGCAGTTCTATATTAGCCCTTGAGGTGACAATTTAATTGTCCACTAAAACAAAAGACTGTTAACTATTCTGCTTAATTTTATTATTCTGTATGTCTACCTGGTCTCAGAGTCTGCCACTGGCTGGTTGGTTGGAACACCTCAACATCTTCAGAGTCCACCTCATCATCGACGTGAGCTTCTTCATCCCCATTGACGGATTCCACCACAGTTAGTGCAGAGACAGCCTGGGAAGAATTGTCACAAAATTTCTGTCAGTAAGGGTTCTTTGGCTGAAACTTGGGTATAGAGACTGGGACTGTTTTCCTTTAAGGGTTCTGCTGGAGAGGGAGATTGTTCGTTGTGTCACTATTAACCATTCAAAAACAACGCTAGATCTTCAAGATTTAAGTGGGATTGCTTCTAGGATCAATGTAAATGAGTCCAAACTAACCACAAAGTATAACGTAATTCCTGTGCTATTTATTAACCTACTCACTTTTTCGTAGTTGGCTGAGGCCAGGCGAACCAAAAGGATGCATACGGTAAGCAGCGCCACCCTTCGTCCGCTGCGCTGTTCTTGGAATACAGCACTCATGCTCCCAGGCGGAGACCGAATCAGCTCTTCACACGCGATGTACTGCAGTAAGGAGAGTCCTGCATTTACAGTCTGCCATTAAATTCAGATGTTTATTACTGCTATTGACGAGTCATGGTTCTCACCTGAGTTCCGCCTCTTAATAACTGCTAGCTGGCTAGCAAGATAAAAAACGTAAGGCAGGTAAATACCAAGTCCAATACTGCTCTAAATATCGTTGCAACATCTGGTTCTTGAAACAGAGACGTTTCTACTTCATTTTCTTTTGACAGTCAAATGATCAGGTGCGTTTTTATCAACTTCGTAAGATCCAATGTTGACCACTTTCACTGCCCTACTCATACCATACAAACATTACATATTTAGCAATTAGCACAGCACAAGTACTCCGAACATCCCACGTCAGCGATATAGACCAATCAGGTTCGATGTGCGTTAACTTCCGCCACGTCCTTTCTAAATGGATCATTGATTGGCTGCGGCGCTACTTCTAAAACAGTACGTACAAAATAAGTGATTTCCGTTGCTGTCAAAAATGTATCCCTAGTAGTAGTATTAAGTAATGCATCAGTTCATCCACTGTTTCATTTCGTTTTCGTATACTTAATTTTTAGACAGTTCATTGTATCTCCTGTATTTATTAAACTTTTGTTGTTCGTGAATGATTCGTTTTTTCTAAGTGAAGCCGGTCACATCCATGCATTGATTAGTTCATTCAGTTCCTTAAATTGTCTTGTTTATTGATACCTCGGCACAGACAGATGGTTTTTAAAGCACGGAATGTGTTTTTTTAATCCCTGAAATGGATTGGGAGGAAACTCCCCAGATTTGTTCAATAGGTCAGCGTTTCTCTATCCTCAGGGAGTCCCACACGTCCACATTTTCACTCCTCCCAAGCTCTCACACATTATGTACCATTCAGATGAACTATATCTTCAGGGTTTCAAATATTTTTATTGTGAAGATAATGTATACTTTTAGACTGTGGAAATCAAAGTGCCTAGACAAATTCATACGATCACATAAAACACAAAACCCACATACACCCAGGTGGCGATAGGACTATTGTAGGTGACTCAAACCCTAACCCTGGAGATGTGATTTACATGGGCATTAACAAGGAAACATTTTTCATTTTTTTATTTAGCTACAATCAATCAAAACATAAATAATGACATTACAAAACATTTTAATATCACAGTTAATACAGCAGAACACCATTAGGCAATGATGGTCCCTGGTAGAGGTGAGCACTGACAAAGAGGTTGCCAAGCAGGTCACCCTACTGCTGGACACACTGGTCCTCCATGGTGGGCTCAGAGGCAACATGGATGGCCCCCTGGGACTTGTGGTGCTTTTTCCTTTCTGCTTTCCTGTTCTCGTCTCCCACATCTATCACCACCTCCGCCTTCTTTGTCTTGACTGTGCAGTCAGCTGAGGGAGACCTACAGGCAAACCATCCGATTGGCATTCAGCTTTACCAGGACCATGTGTGTGCAGCTGAGGTATGCTACATACGCATACGCAGCCTCAGCTACCTAGTGCTATTCAACACAATACATTGTCGCTGACAATAACACTTCCCTTGAATTGCTTTAGTTTGTCAAGCCTAATTTTAACCAATAGATCAAACGAGACACTAATTCTAAACAGAAGGTCAGCTGACAATACATGTGTATGCATTTGTATTACTGCAGAATTTACCATGTGCACTGCTCAGCACGGATAGAGCACTGCACAGCTTACAGGCATTTATTTTACGGATCAAGTTCACATTGTATGAAAATGTCATATTCTTAAGCATAAAGTCAAAATGATAGACACACAAGCACTCAACAGGTTTAAAACCATGCAGACACAGAGGAGATCCTTTAAGAACAACAAAAACAAGGGGAAAAAGAGCCAGCTTGATGCTGGTTGTAGCTACCACAGATTCCCGCATCTCACTTTTGTTTCTTTATCGTAATCCCGCTTGTTGTTTCCAGTACTTGTCCTCCATAAATGTGACAAGTAATATCTTACCACCCACCCTACCTTATACACAGCTGGTGCTGGAGGAGCATACATACAATACTGACCAAAACAATGGAAAAACTAGTATAGACATCTCCTTATTCATATTTTTACGAGTCAGTCCTATTAAAAGAATAAACCACAAGTCCATCCATCTTCTATAGCCGCATATCCAATGCAGTGTTGAGGTGGCCCTGGAGCCGATCCCAGGAAGCACTGGGCACACTGGATGGGGTGCCAGACCTTTACAGGCCACACGCTCGCATGTAGCGGAAAACATGGACACCGATTCAGCTACACGTTTTTGGAAACACGGAAAGAAACCCGAGTATCTGGAGAAAAACTCACTCCAACAGATTAGGAACATACAAATTCCAAATGCACCCAAGAGCTACCCACTGAGCTACCATGTCACCCCAAAAAGAATAATTCCATAGTTAAACCACCTACTTTATGGCCACATCATACTGCTCCAGGTCATTCAAATCACATTCATCCATCTTTCCCCACTTGACGCATCAACATCTCTGCTTCAGTTCGGTTTTCAAAATATAACTGAATACCTCTGGACTGAGGTTTGTATTATAAAAGGCTGCCCCCTTTAGGTCATTGTTATGTACTACACAAAATTGTCAGAGGGCAGCTAGAAGCCATGTAGGAAAATTATGATTAAGTGCAGTGCATTAACACAGTAATGTCACATTTACATTTAACTCATTTATCTGATGCTTTTATCCAAAGCGACAGAGTAGAGGGAAAAGTTACAATTTATTTGTGCTCCCATATGATTGTTGTTATAAAACACAGACTCCATACTAGATTACTGCAGTGTCCCAGAGGTCTCCTATGGAATGTCAGGAAAGGTTTTTCCTTGCTACAGACTTCCTGAAAGGCAGTGCCAACGTGGGCAACGGAAGACGAGGGGTGAGGGTCCGCACGAAGCCCACCAGGAGGAAGAGGATGAAGAAGGTGGAGTTGATGCAGCGGAGGAAAAGTGAGAGGGGCCGGCAGGAGGAGGCGGCAACTGACCTGGGAGCATCTGGAATGGTGCTGGTTTCCTCACAGATGCGGACGCACTTTGTGTCGCGTGCTGAGCGGCCGGGCTTGGTGGCGCGTGCCGGCAGAAGCGGGGTAGCCAGTGGCCTTTCTGCTGCGATGGCGGTGGCCTCCTCGGGGCTCCCTTCGGAGCGTCCCACGGCCTCGGCCTCCCGTTTCTCCGGCACTGGGGGGGCCTCGGGGGCGTCCGCTGGCAGCTTCTCATGTCGACGCTTCTGTCCCTGGCTCTTTTTTACCTCTGGTGACAGTTGCAGACGACATGCACTATTATTATTATTAGCTTTTGCCCAGATAAAGCTGCAACTCTGCTTCTGCATAAAGAAACCAAAAACCTCCACAATGTAGAGACCTACACAGGGTTTTTGCAGGTTTCAACAAGTTAAATTTAAGACATTTTAAGACCTTTTTAAGACCATTATGATTGCAATTTAAGACCTATTTCACATCCATACAGCAAAAAAATATGTGAAGTAAAATTCCAAAATTTCTTGCAAAAGGGTAATAATTATTTGACCCTGAGGGAAATAATTAATTGACCCCCTGTTCAATTCTTAACTAGGCCCATTTTTTAAGAAATGAGAAATCCATATAGAACTGGAGTGCACCTGTGCCCTATTAATTTCCACCTGTGCCTATACCCGCAAATTAAAGTTTAGGATATTTTTCACCTGCTCTGTCAATACTTGCGGGTTACCTGTCGGGTACCTATAGGTACCCGAACCCATGCAGGACTCTGCCCTGCTGTACATAACCTATAATAGGACAAATTTGTTTAAATATATCTTAGCCTATTAAGGGTGCTCACTAGCTTACAGTCTGTACTTGTGTGGTGCATGATTTTAAACTTATGAATCGTTCTGTAATTAATTTTTTTTTTTCGTATTCGTATTTAAACCATTTTAAGGCCTAAAATTCAGATTATTGGACTTTAGACTTTTTAAGGACTCATGGAAACCCTGCTACACCCCCCCAATGGATTAGGTTCACTCTTCATCTTTACTGAATAGCATTCAGTAAGATTTACAATGGTGGGACACCCAGACTGGCGTCATGCCCAACCAGCATGTCCTTCACAAAAATGAACAGAAAAGAACCAAGAAAAGGTTCATTTCTGAGCCTGATTTAACAGCAGATGAGTGCAAACAATGGATGGGTTACCGTTGGGTTCGTACTGCAGACGCAGCTCGTCCAGTTTGACTTGCAGCTTGATGTTGGTGCTCTGACACAGTTTGAGGGCCCGTTCAGTGCTAAACAGCTTCCTCTCCAGCTCCAGCACCCTCTGGCTCTCTGAGAAAGCCTTCATCCTCTGACGGGACAGCTCATCCCCCAGCTGCTCTGCATCTTTCCTTCAAACATGCACAGACACAACCCCCAATGCACAGCTTGGTAAAGAACAGACACAATTCTCCTTGCAAAAACACTACCACCAACAGTCCAAGTGCACACTGAAGTCCTTACAGTGACTCTAAAATGCCAACAGATAGAATCTGACAGCCGACGTCAAAGGTCCATCTTCAGTGGCATAGTCTGCCATGCAGCACCACTAATGTACTCACTGAGAGTTGGAGAGCTGCATTTTAAGGAGGTCAGTGTAGAAAGTGCCGTCTGTGCTCTCTGCATCCCCAGTCATGCCGGACGGCTGAGCTTTCACCGCCATCTAAATGCACATATACAGTGCCTTTAAAACGGACCAGGAATTGTGCCCGTTCAGGGCACTACTAGTCAAAGGGTGTCTGCCAAAACAGGTGAGGACCTCCTCAACGATGACACGCTGAAATCCATCGCATCCATGAGTAAAGAGACAGCGGGTCCACATAGTCTTCCCGTACACGGCGGGCTTACCTCGACCTTCTCCAGACGGCGCACCTTCACCATAAGCGCCTCGATCTCGTTGTTCTTTTCGGACAACATGGACTGCAGTCGCTCCAGTTGTCCGGGGTCCGCCCTTGACCCCTGTAGCTGCATCAGGGTGGCAATCTGTACCTGGTGTCGGGGGGGGATTCAGAATACGTCTACTTTCCAAACTACATTTGAAGTTACAGTACAACTAGAACCAGAAGTGAACTGCTACACTGGGTGGCATAAGGCTCTGTGGATTAGGATCCTGTAACTGGCAGTGTGACATTGAGCAGGGCCGAACTGCTACAGGGACTAGCTGACTCTGCTCACTGATCCTCAACTGTATGTCACAAGTGTTTGCAAAGGAAATATAAAAATTTAATGTAGCGAGTAATGTCGTGTGCTGTTCAGAGTTCTACAGTTCCCTCCCACAGTCCAAGCATGCAATGACATGCTTCGAGCCCTAACTAGTAGGGCTCAAATATTCAGTCAGAGTCCCTTGAGTCCACTGTGATTCTTAAAGTCAAACAGTTGTTTTCCTATTTTTGTCAGTCAGTGTTCATTACAGCAGCACGATAACAGTCAGAAGCTTACAAAAAGTATGGCATGTCAAATAAATGAGGGGGACCATGGATATATTTTTATATTCTAACAGGGTGATTGCTTAAAAAAAATCCACATTAACGATCATTTGGGCAGTAGTGATGTGTGGGTGGGCCTGCGGATCGGGTGGGTTGACAAAGCAGCGTTCCGGCTAACTGGTAGGTTCCGGTTTTGCATTACAGGCTCTCTGAATTGCATGCAATAGATGAGGCTGTGATTATCAGTCCAACCCCTGTGTACTCAATTTCAATTTGGCTGCTTCTTTGGGTGATAATAAAGAGGTAAAAACTTAAGAAAAAAATGCAGTCAAGTATATACTCTCTTTCTGATTTATTGGAAGCACCCTCTGTGCATTCAACACCAGGCCAGCAGAATATTCACAGCCATAGAATCAGGTAGGATATCGCTGCAGTTTTATTTAAATGAAATTGGGTTTGACTCCTAAAGATGTGTATATTGTGCTTTATATGGCATGTACAGAAAGAAACAGACCTAAAATGGCAGTAATTTAACATGCCAAAATAAATATAATTTCAAAGTGATTTACTGGTGGTTGTTTGTTGCCCTGTGCTACTACGTGGACTTGGGGAGGGACACATGCAGTGTGCGCGTGTCAAAAAATAAAAAGATTAATTAATTTAAAAATGAGATTATAAGAGCTTGATTTAAGCAGAAATGCATGTGTGCTGCCTGCCTCATTATTCCAACAAATCCATAACGTAAACATAGAACAAAGCGGAAGCGCGGGCTTTTGTAGTCGACCTGCCTGAAAGCAAGTGGAAATCATCACTGAAATTCATGCCAATGGATGTTCTAATTGCCAGACAGTGTACAAGCAGGGCGGAGGGACAAATGGTCAAATATTCGTATTGAACAGCTGGATTCGATTCGACTGAGAAGATTCTGAGTCAGCTAAGGCCCTACTAACTAACAGCTTTTTAAATTGCCCATAGTATATGACCGTGCGTGTGTATGCTGATGGACTGACGTCCTGCCAATGAGGTACCATAGCCCTGTGCTGTTTGGGATAGCCTCCAAGGCACGCCCAAGACCATGACCAGCATTAGCACTTGGAAGATGAATGGAGGGAATAACTGATATTTAGACTGAGACCGACGTGAATTGCCGCAGCATTGTGAGAAGTCTTGACCCATCAAGCGCTGGCGGCTCAGAATGCGAAGGTGAACATACCTTCATACGCTGCAGCTGCTGTCTGGAAAAGGCATGTTGCTTGAGCAGAGACTGATGTTGCACCTTCATGCTGATCAGCTGTCTCTCCATCTCAGCCCGCCTGTCCTCCACCTGGGGGACAGCAGAGGCATCAGCTCAGGCCAGAGACATCTGTGCCATCGTCTGCATACATGAAGACACTTTTCAGTTTCTGAGGTCCATTTACAAAAATGCACACCTCAGAGAACAAAGAGTTGCCCTTGCTGTTGGGGTCCTGGGCCTGCTGCAGCAGCTGGTGCAGTTGGATTTGGAGGTCCTGGTTGGTTTCACGTGCTTTCTGCAGCACGACAACAGATGGCAGACATGAGCAACCCGTCAACATGTCTAGTGGCATTGATCCTTTCCAGCCCCCAATCCCTGACAGGAAGGGAATCCCAAACCTCCAAAGCGTTGAAGCAGGATACGGCCTCCTTCTCGCGCTCCTCCTTCTCCTCGGTCAGCCGTGCCAGCCGCTGCTGCAGGTTGCTATTGGCCAGCCCCAGCTGCTGCTCCTTGTAGTGCCCCTCCTGGAGCTCACGCTCCAAAGTGACCTGGGAGAAGAGGACGCTCAGTGCTTACTGCCTCACTGCATGCAATGCTCAATGGTCTCTGCCACGCTGCATGCAATGCTCAATGGTCTCTGCCACGCTGCATGCAATGCTCAATGGTCTCTGCCACGCTGCATGCAATGACATGCTTCACCAGAAACATAACACATACATGCATGTCCCCATTCGCAGAATTCACACCTGTCATAACCTAGACATATTTAGACATTATATTATTATGCAAACATTTTAATGAACAGAAAACTCGCATGGCTGATGCTTCTATCCAGTGTGATGACACCAGCTATATTACGAGAGAAATTCAGGTTAGGGATCCTGCTTGATCGATTGATTGATAGATAGATGTTCCAAACATCCTGAGGCTGCAAGATACCTTCAGGCTACAATCCTGTGTCTCATCACCAAGCCACCTATTGGTCTAGCAGTACCGAGCTGTGAAAAACATGAGTCTAAAGATACCATTTGCCCACAGTTTGGTATGCATCGTGGTTCAGTACGCCATTTGCTTCTGTCTAATGACGTTTAAATTGTAGCCCTCGAAAATCAGACAATTCCAGTGTTTTAGATGGATTTTTCTTGGGGGGGAAAAAACACACCAAATCTTGTGCTGGTACTTACAGTATAGGAGATACTGCGGTATCATACCGAATGGTTAGATGATATATTGTGGACTGTGACACCCCTACCGAGTAAGTAAACATGCTGCTACCAAGCTAAAAACACTGCTCAAAAAATTA